AAGAGTTTGGCATGACATGGCTAAGGAACAGAAGCTACAGACATCCCCTGGCGGAAGGGGAAGTGACACCCAATTTAAAGACCAGAATCGAGGTAGTGTCTAGAGAGACATAAGGAAGTAAAACGAACGTTTTAGGTTTAGGGGAAAAGATAAATTTAGCGTGCTTTTGAGATCATGAATTGGACAACAGGTACGATTCATTCGCAGGTCAGAGATGTGAAAGGACGGTGAAAGTGTTAAGATATATTTCAGAAGGCACTCCTACCTATACAACAAAAGATATGACTCATCTGCTATAGGTGAGACACGTTGACAACAGTTGCAGTTACGTTGATCAATCATGGTCGCTTGAGGTGGTATATCGTGTCCCACGAGGTGGTAAATCAGGTCCCACGAGGCGGTATATCGTGTCCCACGAGGTGGTATATCAGGTCCCACGAGGTGGTATATCAGGTCCCACGAGGCGGTATATCGTGTCCCACGAGGTGGTATATCGTGTCCCACGAGGTAGTATATCAGGTCCCACGAGGTGGTATATCGTGTCCCACGAGGTAGTATATCGTGTCCCACGAGGCGGTATATCGTGTCCCACGAGGTAGTATATCAGGTCCCACGAGGTGGTATATCGTGTCCCACGAGGTAGTATATCAGGTCCGACGAGGCGGTATATCGTGTCCCACGAGGTAGTATATCAGGTCCGACGAGGTGGTATATCAGGTCCCACGAGTATATCAGGTCCCACGAGGTGGTATATCGTGTCCCACGAGGTAGTATATCAGGTCCCACGAGGTGGTATATCAGGTCCCAAGAGGTAGTATATCGGGACCCACGTGGTGGTATATCGGGACCTCACGCGGTGGTATATCAGGTCCCAGGAGGTAGTATATCAGGTCCCAGGAGATGGTATTCAAGTAATTGGAAACTCCAACAAATATAGCCGATAGGAAAATAGTACAGATAATGACTCTCTATTAAATCTTTCCTATTGTATTGAAATTGAAAGAAAAGAAAAATACACCCATAGGAAAACACTGTTGAACGAAGAGTTTATGTCACCAAAGACTTTTATGATCGTGTCCCACGAAATTATTCTAATATATCGTCTGAGTTTTCAATTATTCTAATTCTTTTCCGAACTGGACGGGATATCAGGTCCCAAATATATCTGTCCCAAGTGATATCGATAGTATATCGTGTCAAGCATGACTCTTTGTCACGTGATTTGACTTACATTTTCAAGATAATGTGAACGGTGTCTCAATTAACCTTTTGGGTATATTGCAAAAGCCATGAAAACAAAACTAAACAAATGGTGATAGGAAAAATAGTCATGCAGTTTGTATGTCATGCTCCTCTGTCAACAAAGTATTACTGGCAGGAATACGATGCTGATTTACTTTTTACAAAAATAAATTATAAGTGTTGAGAGACACGTCCATGTGAAGACCAAAACAATATCATTGTTCTTGTATGGCTATGCCAGGTAATGTCCGCCACAAGTGTCTATTTTATGGATCAGAGGAATAAGGTCTACACAAATGTAGCTTGTTTTTTTTTTATTTGGCAGTTCAGTTTTCAAAAAAAGTGCAATTCTATCTTTGTACCAAGTCTATATTGTCTATATGTTTATACAGCAAGACCCATATTAAAGTCAACAATAGACACATTTGATAATGCATATGAAGTAATATCCTTAATTGGTAACTTCTTTATAGGTAACATCCAACCGTCTCGTCCTGCTAAGACTCATCAGAGATGATAAGCTGCTATACGCCATCACGGCTGTGTTTTATTATTAGTTAAACAATACAGAATTAAGGATTGTGACTGGCGACATTGGAGCTCTCACGTTTCTCGAAAACACCTTTTTGCTATTGATAAAGTCTGTTTGTAATAACTTGGATGAGTTCTACATAATGCTGTAGAAGTTGGTGTTTTTTTCAGCAGGTGTTGTTTGACTGACAGCACGACCAGAGTCTGATGCTCATTAAGTTCCTGACAGCGCATCAGTGCCCGGATTAGATTCCATATACCAGACAATTTACAATGTTTGTTTACGTCTGTTCTGAACCACTCGTAGAATGTATTCTGCAATCTACAACGCTAATCCCGGATGGTCTTTGTCTAAACGGGAAAATAGACATCACTCAATGAGTTATTTCTGATGCTTTTCTCATATGTAAGCACTTGTATTGTAAAAACACAGAATGTCGAATATTTCAAATGAACAAATAAGTTATCCTGAGTTGAAATTTAATTATTAATTGTTAACTTGTAACATTATTGATATAGGCAAGTTCAACACATCCAGTGACGATGTAACACTCTTTTAACTGATAGGTGTAAGTGGATGGTGACCGTGGTAAGATACATTTATAATTAAACCCATAAAGGATCAGATGAAACACTGAAAGTTTCCGGAAACTTCAAGCCAAACAAAATCATGTTTACGGAGCAAGTCCTTAGAACCACAAATGTTTTGAGGAATGTATATGATTGCAAAAGAAAAAAGGGAAAAAGTAAGAACACACTTTATATGAATTTCTAAAGCTCTGAGAGAAGGAGGTTTGATACATTGGAAATGTAATGGATTAATAGAGAGTAATAAAAGGGGGAGTCTGATGTGGGTTCCCTGTTCCTGTTTCCTCACACCTTTAAAGAAAAAACGGAAATGGTATCAAGACCATAGTTCCGTTAACAAAAAAGAACTGGAAATTTTGACCAAGATGACGGCCTTGACCTGTCTTTGCGTCAGTGTCGCGAGTGTGGTAAAAATTTGACCAAAATAACACTGATGGCTAAATTCAGACAACGAAATGTTTATTGGATTTGAGCCTACGAATTTGTCAGACGCAGCACCGGAAATTGTGTCGAAAATAATCTGATAATGATTCAAATATTCAAGAGTTATTTACTAAAAGAAAATACAGTTTCAAATAACTGGCTTAAGCTTGCGTTTAAAATGTGATGCCGAAAATAACAGACACACCGAGCGTCTGTTAAAACAATTTCATTCGATCAGTTTACCAACAGCTATGAAATGTTATTCCCCAAAAAATTAATCTTAGAAAGATATACCTCCAGTTTAATATAAATAGCAACCAATCAAAATGACAGGATTGATGCCTTGACCTGTCGTTGTATTTTCGAGTCTAGCGGAGAGTAGAAAACTCCGGGAGACAATCCTGTCTATATGTGGTATGGCCAACATTCTATGCTGAATCGCTTATATAAGAAAGAGAAGTTTCGATTCGGCTTTGGCAATTGTATTTTTAACGAAAAGTTTCTTTATAGATTAGGTAGAATGAAAGTACCGAAGTTGGAAGACAGTTATGACAAGATCAGAAAACTTCTTAATTGCGTTACAAACCAGCCACGATATGTCCAAATAGAACAATCGTCCGAAATATCTGAAAGTGAACAAGAACCATTGAGCTGAAGTTTAGTCAACTGTTCTTGTGTCTTTTTGTGCTTTTGCCAAAAATGTCGCACACATGTCCTTCATTCAGAATGTAGCTAACTACTATCATGCATGTTGTAGGGAATGTCTATGTAATATTTTTTATTAAACGTAAAAACAAATTTCACCCTTAATACTATAGTAATCGAATAAAAGGGGGGTTCAGACAGATGAATGTATGATGGTATTTGACAATGTAGACAAAGTCGCCAAACAATGGAACGTTTATGAGTTCACTGAAACCTATCCTTTTTTAGAAACATCTACAGGGAACTGGCGCGATCATAACAAGGCGTTAGTAACATATTACTAATTTCTTTTGTTCCAATTTTGTCTAAGTTTTATTAAATTTGAATTGGTATTATGATTATGTGTTGATATTTTGTTTTTTTTTTTCTCCATTGCATCTGAAAAGAGACGATAACTCTAAAACGTTTCATACTGCTTGCTTATTGACGGGAGCTTTCAGACATCTAGTTGACGTTAACTGGTTTATCTTGTTTCACTGACTTTATGTCGGTATCCATCCAGGCTATTTAGAATGTTAATAACACGCACAAGCTGAAAATAAAAAAATGAAAGTACTTGAACAAAACAAGTGTAATGGAAGTGAAGTAAAGGATGAAAAGACACTCGTTCAGGTTGTGTAGAAATGAATGTTTTTAGGTAAACATTTCAGTGAATGAAAGGTATCAGTCAAGTGAAAAGATATATCCTGACGTCAGCAGTCAATTCAAGCGTAAATTTTGTAAGCAAGTAGTTAGACAACCACTAAGTAAAAATCAAGATACAGTTTGATTCTTCATAAGAAAGGATAACTGACAATTTCTTTATTATATACTTCTGCTTCTTAATATCCTTGATAAATCAACAGCCGAATTTGTAAAAACCAGGAGAAATCAACAGCTGAATCAATAAAAACCAGGAGAAATCAACAGCCGAATTTGTAAACACCAGGAGAAATCAACAGCCGAATTTGTAAACACCAGGAGAAATCAACAGCCGAATTTGTAAACACCAGGAGAAATCAACAGCTTTATTCTTCACGTCCTTGAGAAGACGACAGTCAATAACTTACCAACTAGGAAGAATCAACAGCCGAATTATTCATAGCTAAGTGAAATCAACAGGAGAGTATTGTACGTATCCAGAGTAAGGTAACTGAATCGTTTCTATCATACTCCAGGTTCCTGTCTGCGACAAAAATGCAGACTTGTTAAACGCCAAGTTGAAAGTGAAAATACCTTCGTCACCATTCCATTTTATAATTCTATGATTTGAAAATATCACCAAACATGTGACCATAGTCCTATTGCACACACGCGTCCGCCATCTTGTTTTAGGTCATTATATATGCATGTCAAAGGTCAACTGGATATAAACATCCCGTCGCGATAAACATGGCGGCCTGCGGATTTGACGTTTACATCTGTATGTTTATCCATTGTTTTTTTTTTACTTTTCACTGAAACTTTTGTGACACATATATTTATATTGTTCATCATGTTTTATATTTATATATTTACACATATTTTACACCATGGACATCACTGCATCGAGTCTAGATGACTTTTTACACTGGAAAAAAGACGCTCTTCGTAAGTACCTATGTGATCGAGAATTATCTCGTAATGGCAATAGATCAGAACTGGCTGCGTTATGCTTTGCTGCACTATCTGTGAATTTGCCACTGAAAAATTCATCTATTGAACTTTCAAAGGAAAATGAAAAGGTTTATCATAAGTTGTTATGTATTGACGGTACTGTACATATTACATCTTTCCTGGTGACAAGTGAACGCGAAGAGCAGGCTAACATTCAGTTGAGTTCAGAGCCCCATACTGTATGGGTTTGCTGTGACAAGAAGACAGGGGGCATCAAGTCAGCTTACTGCTCTTGCACAGCTGGGTAAGAACAATAACACACACATTTTTGCTTGACTATAATATGTATTTGTTGAAATGGAGACCAATTGATCAACTTGATATCATATATACAGTACACTTGTCAAAGGAAACAATATACATTAATGCAATTAAAAGTGTGTTCAGAAGCAAGTTATATCTTTTATATCTATCCCTTGCTGATGAGGAAACATTAACCACATAATACACAATACATTTTACTTTTTTGTACACAATTAGGTGACAATACCTACTCTACTAGAAAGGACAATTGTGTTAATTAAAAATGTGACAGTTTTACCACAACTGTGATTTATTTTACCACCTTGTCACGTATATAAGTGTATGTTGATATTTTTTACAGACATATATTTTTGGACAGACATGTAATCATGTGGCAGGATTACTGTTCCGTAGAGAACATGCAAATACGACCGGACTTACATCATGCACCTCTAGTAGATGTGCTTGGGTAGCCCCTGGTAACACTGGAACCCTTCCAACTAGCAAACTCAAGGACATGGCTTTCAAGAAATCCCAATATGGCAAAAAAAGTAAATATATATTCTGCAACAGGTAGTTTATAATTGTCATGTGAAAAATACACAGCTGCCTTCATTGGGATTTAAACTTGTGATCCTTTGGCCTCTTAAAGCCCAACATATCACTCTATCACTATAGGAAAATTCCTGTTAGCCATAGCAAGTAAAGAGACTTGTGCCCTTTACTTTTACATAAATATATATGAATTGTTGCACAGCAAGCTTAAATAAAAAGAAAATTATTCTGTTGACTGAGTAAACAAACTCAGTGTAGTTCATTATAACATTTCAATTTAAAACCACAGGTGAGAAATAGTCTCCACATATTTATGATCTTTTAACAAATCAAGTTTGATATAAATACAAATGTACATGTCATGTTTTACTTAATAATTATACATAATTTATTTAATATACAAGCCAAACCAATTTTTGCAATAACATCATTGTAAATTGATTTTATTTCACTCTAATATAGCATCTCGACCATTAGTAGGAAATTTGAAGGCCGGTTTGAATGTCCTTCCTTGCGATGCCAATACTTCAACAATCAGAAACAGCTTGCTGGCAAAACTCAGAGAGGTCCAACCAACTGCACGTGTATTGAAAACTTCTATGCTTTTGATGTCGTAAAGGCCTAGCACTTGGCAGTTAAATGTGGGGATCAAATGTTATTGTACAATACGTCCATGTACAAATCTTTTTTTTTTCCATAAAAAGTCAATAAAACTCCATGAGCGAAAATAAGAAACATTTCCTTTAGTATCAGATCAATATGTTTACAGTACTGGACGTAATTCTTTGTCCGTCACTTACACTAAGCATAACACAAACGGTCGCCATTGCTGAAGAAGAACCCGGATGTGGTGTTTTATATCCAGTTGACCTATGACCTAAGAGTTACCGGAAACGTGCAATACGACTATGATCATGTCTATATCTACGTGTGTGTACTATGCTGCCTATATACGATAATTTTGGGTACATCTTAAAAAATGTAAGTTTAAGTATTCATGTGATTACCAAACGAGGCTGTTTTGAAAAGTCTTTTTTTTTTGGGGGGGGGGGGGGGGGGGGGGGGGGTGTTTACCATACATTTTTGTACAAATTTATACAAATGTAATATATGTACATTTGTTTGACTATATTTACCGGATATCAAGCCTACCTCTTCTCATATTACTTATGGCTACCAAGCTTATATCTATAACGCTGTTTATTTTTTAAGCTCTAAACTGTAAGCTTATGTATCGACACCTATCATGATAATATCGCTTTTTTCAACCACAATTGTTTTTATAATAACGCCAGTATTGAATAAAAATACATACTTGTATTTTCTGAAGTAATACCGCTAGTATCCAAGGTGATGTGCGTATCTTGAGATCTGATTAATTTACTTTGGTCAATAAAGATTTTCCACTGACAACGCGCGGTATGTTAGCCTACGTGCATATATTCGCCGGCTTGTAATGATCGGCGCGCCTACTTTAACAATCCATTATCGTATTTTGTATTCGGTTTTAAATACATACACGGTATATACTTGTCAAAGGGTTGTACATGAAATAACTGATATACTTATAATGTCCTTTATGTAACCTACGAATTTCTCATCTTAATATTAGATCTCTAATAAGATTGGCATTGTTGAAGCGGAGTTAAATGGTAATGATATCGTTTGCTTAACTGAAACTCATCTCACATCTGATATACCTGATACTAAGCTTATAATACCTAATTACTTTGAAAATCTTCATAGGTTAGATAGGAAAACAGGTCCTGGTGGTGGGATACTTATACATTACAAAAACTATATAAGACGATGTGATCTCGAACGGGATGAGGTTGAAATGATATGGGTGGAAATATATGTTGAGTCACACAAGTTCCTGTTAGCTTGTCTCTGTAGACCTGAATCACCAGTCAGCTATTGGGAAAACTTAGACTCAGTAATTGATAAAGCTGTAAACACCAACTTAGATATAGTAATTACTGGTGATATAAACATGAACATGCTAAATCTCCAACCCCATTCTCATCTTGCTAGACTGATGATGACAAAATTTAATCTTTCAAGTTTTATCACTGAGCCCACTTGTATCACTTCAACCTCATCCACATCAATTGATATTGTCTTTTCTAATAACATTAATCTAGTTAGATATGCATATGTTTTTCCTCCTATACGTAGTGACCATTCTCTGATACAGTTCAATATTTCGTAAACAGTCTACAAGCAACAAAGCTATCAGAAAATATTTATGTATCAAGATGCAGATTATAATGAGTAGATGTATTTTTGGGAAGTGATTGGATAAACCTTAACAATATTCTATGTTACACTATAAAACAGTTATTTGATGAATGTATGCCCTTTAAATATGTGACTATTAGGCCAAATGATAAGAAATGGATGACAAATGATATTAGACTACTTATAAGACAAAGAAATAGGACTCATAGGTAACCTAAAACTACTAACTCTGCTCTTCATCGACTATAGAAACAAAAGAAATGAAACTATTAGTAAAATACGTGATGCAAAGAAATCTTACATGGAACATCTTCAAAAATCAGTAGCCGACAGATCTATTCCTCCTGATAAATGGTGGAAAATTGCAAGAAATGTTCTTAATATAACCAATAAATCTTCTATCCCCCACTTAATCACAATCACTCATTTATCTAACATCCATTTGACAAAGCTGAATGCTTAAATAAATACTTTCTATCAATTTCGACTACTTCTGAAAATACTGAACCCTTACCTGAAATTGTCAATGATTATCCTCACTCTATAAATAATGTTGTGATTACTCAACAAGATGTTAAGGATCAATTATTTCTTTAAATGGTAATAAACCTGCTGGACCAGATGGCATGATTCCTAAAATAATCAAACGACTTCATCCATCTATTCTCCTCCCTCTCACTCTCCTATTTAATAAATCTTTAGAAACAGGTATTATTATTTACACCCGAAGACTCTACTGTAAATCAGTTATTATCTATTTACCATGCCATTGTTAATTGCCTAGATCAAAATAAAGAAATCCGATTTATATTCTGTGACATAAGTAAAGCTTTCGATAGGGTTTGGCATAATGGACTGCTTTAAAAATTGAAATCTTATGGTGTTACAGGTAATCTATTAAATTGGCTTGAACTTTTTTCTATCTAATAGGAAACAGAGAGTACTGACAGAAGGTTATGCATCAACCTTTGACCCTGTCCAAGCTGGGGTACCACAAGGCTCGGTTCCCGTGCCATTACTATTTTTATTATATATTAATGATATAGTTGAATGCGTCTCTAGTAAAATAAAATCATTTGCAGATGATACATCTCTCTGTGGTACATGTGATAGTAATCCCATTGAATTGGCACAGAATCTTTCAGATGACTTGACAAACATAATGCTGTGGGCCAATAAATTGGATATTAAATCCAGTCCTTCCAAAACTGAATCTGTAGTATTTTCAAGAAAAACTGACAAAAACCACCCAATGATTACATTTTATGATCAACCAATTACTGAAAACAAACTTCATACACATCTAGGTCTTACTCTTAGTGATGATGCAAAGTGGAATCAACACATATCTGATATCTATGAAAAAGCGTTTAAAAGGGTAAATATCTTAAGGTTACTGGAAAAACAAAATTGATAGAAAATCTCTTACTACCTTGTATACTTCGTACATTAGGTCAATTATTGAATACGCAAATGTTGTTTGGGATAACTGTACACTGGCTCAAAAAAAATATTGGAATCCATACAACTAGAGACTGCTAGATTACTTACAGGTTTACGTAGAGGGACATCACATGATAAATTATATAGGGAACTAGGATGGGAAACCCTGAGTAGTAGAAGATATAAACATCAACTTATCTTAATGTATAAAATAATAAATAATGGAACTCCAGATTACTTAAGTGAAATAATTCAACCTTATATACATGATGAAACCCAAGACAGATATCCCTTGCGTACTAATATAATTTTTGATCACCCATTGTGTCGCACAGTAAATTATAAGTTTCTTTCCATGTATATTTCATGAGATTAATAGACTTGCCTCAGATATCAGTAATATAAATTCCACATCTCAGTTGAAAACGTTATTGAACAAGAATCAATATATATCATCTGCTTTTAAATTTCTAGGTTATCGTGATGCAAACATTATACTGTGCCAGTAAAGAAATAACGCTAGTAATCTTAACTATGATCATTTCAAAGATCACCTAATAAAATCTCCAATGTGTGAGTGCACTCAATCTTCTGAAACTACCCTACACTTCTTCATTGAGTACAATAGATATAGCGATATTCGACAGACCCTACGACAGAACTTGAATCATGATACTCATAATCATTTATGTGTAAATGTCTTATTACACGGTTGTGGTCTTTGTAATGATTTACAAAACAGAGTCATCCTATCACAGATTTTATTTCACGTTCTAAAAGATTCCCATTTTTCAATGCCTAATTTACACATCATTCTAATGATGCATGATTTTATTTCCACAACGAAGAATTATCTCATTGAATGTAGTATTGTAGTATTGTAAACATCCTATATGTACCTTTAGTAATTCCTATTTATCCATTAAACCCCCAGATTGACTACTACTATAACAGTACTACACATACCTGATGTATTATTATGAATTATCATCTCTTACATTTTCTCTCATATACTAGAATTAATCACAATGTAAGTCTAGTTTGGGCAGCTAAGATGACTATTTTCACTTATGTAACTATATGAAGTAACTCCTTCTTATTTAAATAAGCAATCTTCATATTATATAGATAGGACTTGTTGTAACCTTACTTACAAACTATGTACATCTATTTGTTGAAATTGGTGTTATCTGCAGGGAGAAAAATCAAATATGAATAATATGAAACTATCCCAGATGTGATCATCTTGATTAATGCTCAAACTCAATAGACATGACAATGGATTACTTCCTAACATAATCCTGAATAAGTTTGTTTACAATAAGGAGTTACTTCCCCTTATATCTTTCTTTAACAAAATTGAATATATAAATATATATAATATATATATGTCTGTTTGTTTGTTTACCACAGGTCCAATTCCTTTTGACATTTGTCAATAAAATTTGATGATATTGAAAATACCAAAAATCTGCTGTCGTTTTCATAAGTAGATACTGATGTCACACCACGTTATATATCATATATCATACGTTACAATTCCCTAAGATGCTCTATTTCACATTTTAGGTCCCTGTGATTATATCCATGACTACGAAAATCAATCCATCGGACTGGACGGTGTTTGAGTCCAAAGATGAAATACAGAAGGTGGAATATTATAATGATATAGCAACAATGTATGACCGGGTAGGTACATCAGGTATTGCAGTATATCGAATCTACGGCACTATATTTGGAATGTATGTGATGGTAGGTACAACAGGTATAGGGATATCTACAATGTATGTGATGGTAGATACAACAGGTGTAGGGATATCTACAATGTATGTGATGGTAGATACAACAGGTGTAGGCATATCTACCATGTATGTGATGATAGATACAACAGGTGTAGGGATATCTACAATGTATGTCGGGGTAGATACAACAGGTGTAGGGATATCTACAATGTATGTCGGGGTAGGTACAACAGGTGTAGGGATATCTACAATGTATGTGATGGTAGATACAACAGGTGTAGGGATATCTACAATGTCTGTCGGGGTAGGTACAACAGGTGTAGGGATATCTACAATGTATGTCGGGGTAGGTACAACAGGTGTAGGGATATCTGCAATGTATGTCGGGGTAGGTACAACAGGTGTAGGGATATCTACAATGTATGTCGGGGTAGGTACAACAGGTGTAGGGATATCTGCAATGTATGTCGGGGTAGGTACAACAGGTGTAGGGATATCTGCAATGTATGTCGGGGTAGATACAACAGGTGTAGGGATATCTACAATGTATGTCGGGGTAGGTACAACAGGCGTAGGGATATCTACAATGTATGTCGGGGTAGATACAACAGGTGTAGGGATATCTACAATGTATGTCGGGGTAGGTACAACAGGTGTAGGGATATCTGCAATGTATGTGATGGTAGATACAACAGGTGTAGGGATATCTACAATGTATGTGATGGTAGATACAACAGGTGTAGGGATATCTACCATGTATGTCGGGGTAGATACAACAGGTGTAGGGATATCTACAATGTATGTCGGGGTAGGTACAACAGGTGTAGGGATATCTGCAATGTATGTCGGGGTAGGTACAACAGGTGTAGGGATATCTGCAATGTATGTCGGGGTAGATACAACAGGTGTAGGGATATCTACAATGTATGTGATGGTAGATACAACAGGTGTAGGGATATCTACAATGTCTGTCGGGGTAGGTACAACAGGTGTAGGGATATCTACAATGTATGTCGGGGTAGGTACAACAGGTGTAGGGATATCTGCAATGTATGTCGGGGTAGGTACAACAGGTGTAGGGATATCTACAATGTATGTCGGGGTAGGTACAACAGGTGTAGGGATATCTGCAATGTATGTCGGGGTAGGTACAACAGGTGTAGGGATATCTGCAATGTATGTCGGGGTAGATACAACAGGTGTAGGGATATCTACAATGTATGTCGGGGTAGGTACAACAGGCGTAGGGATATCTACAATGTATGTCGGGGTAGATACAACAGGTGTAGGGATATCTACAATGTATGTCGGGGTAGGTACAACAGGTGTAGGGATATCTGCAATGTATGTGATGGTAGATACAACAGGTGTAGGGATATCTACAATGTATGTGATGGTAGATACAACAGGTGTAGGGATATCTACCATGTATGTCGGGGTAGATACAACAGGTGTAGGGATATCTACAATGTATGTCGGGGTAGGTACAACAGGTGTAGGGATATCTGCAATGTATGTCGGGGTAGGTACAACAGGTGTAGGGATATCTGCAATGTATGTCGGGGTAGATACAACAGGTGTAGGGATATCTACAATGTATGTCGGGGTAGGTACAACAGGCGTAGGGATATCTACAATGTATGTGATGGTAGATACAACAGGTGTAGGGATATCTACAATGTATGTCGGGGTAGGTACAACAGGTGTAGGGATATCTGCAATGTATGTGATGGTAGATACAACAGGTGTAGGGATATCTACAATGTATGTGATGGTAGATACAACAGGTGTAGGGATATCTACAATGTATGTGATGGTAGATACAACAGGTGTAGGGATATCTGCAATGTATGTCGGGGTAGGTACAACAGGTGTAGGGATATCTACAATGTCTGTCGGGGTAGGTACAACAGGTGTAGGGATATCTACAATGTATGTCGGGGTAGGTACAACAGGTGTAGGGATATCTGCAATGTATGTCGGGGTAGGTACAACAGGTGTAGGGATATCTACAATGTATGTCGGGGTAGGTACAACAGGTGTAGGGATATCTGCAATGTATGTCGGGGTAGGTACAACAGGTGTAGGGATATCTGCAATGTATGTCGGGGTAGATACAACAGGTGTAGGGATATCTACAATGTATGTCGGGGTAGGTACAACAGGCGTAGGGATATCTACAATGTATGTCGGGGTAGATACAACAGGTGTAGGGATATCTACAATGTATGTCGGGGTAGGTACAACAGGTGTAGGGATATCTGCAATGTATGTGATGGTAGATACAACAGGTGTAGGGATATCTACAATGTATGTGATGGTAGATACAACAGGTGTAGGGATATCTACCATGTATGTCGGGGTAGATACAACAGGTGTAGGGATATCTACAATGTATGTCGGGGTAGGTACAACAGGTGTAGGGATATCTGCAATGTATGTCGGGGTAGGTACAACAGGTGTAGGGATATCTGCAATGTATGTCGGGGTAGATACAACAGGTGTAGGGATATCTACAATGTATGTCGGGGTAGGTACAACAGGCGTAGGGATATCTACAATGTATGTGATGGTAGATACAACAGGTGTAGGGATATCTACAATGTATGTCGGGGTAGGTACAACAGGTGTAGGGATATCTGCAATGTATGTGATGGTAGATACAACAGGTGTAGGGATATCTACAATGTATGTGATGGTAGATACAACAGGTGTAGGGATATCTACAATGTATGTCGGGGTAGGTACAACAGGTGTAGGGATATCTACAATGTATGACACGGTAGGTACAACAGGTGTAGGGATATCTACAATGTATGTGATGGTAGATACAACAGGTGTAGGGATATCTACAATGTATGTCGGGGTAGGTACAACAGGTGTAGGGATATCTGCAATGTATGTCGGGGTAGGTACAACAGGTGTAGGGATATCTACAATGTATGTGATGGTAGATACAACAGGTGTAGGGATATCTACAATGTATGTCGGGGTAGGTACAACAGGTGTAGGGATATCTGCAATGTATGTGATGGTAGATACAACAGGTGTAGGGATATCTACAATGTATGTGATGGTAGATACAACAGGTGTAGGGATATCTACAATGTATGTGATGGTAGATACAACAGGTGTAGGGATATCTGCAATGTATGTCGGGGTAGGTACAACAGGTGTAGGGATATCTGCAATGTATGTCGGGATAGGTACAACAGGTGTAGGGATATCTACAATGTATGTGATGGTAGAAACAACAGGTGTAGGGATATCTACAATGTATGTCGGGGTAGATACAACAGGTGTAGGGATATCTACAATGTATGTCGGGGTAGGTACAACAGGTGTAGGGATATCTGCAATGTACGTCATGGTAAGAGTGTATTATTTACAAATGAACCACATGATTAGTCAACGAAACTGTGTATTTCATACTATGCCATGTAATTATACGTCAAATCTTGTAACATCAGGTTTTCTAAACAATGACAAAAATAACAATGAAACCATCAGGTATACTGAAATGCATAGGATATATCCAAACCTCATATAACCCAATAACAGTTTCCCATACATCAATATGAAGCATACAAAAGTGGGAAGCGGAATGTTGCTATGTAGAAATGGAAAATTTGTCGTCGATTATCTTAATGATCAAGCTATCATACGTCTTAATGAAGAGCTGTTTCTTGATTGCAAAGTAAATATCGAGATGAGAGGTTTATGAAGAAGAGTTTAGATGATATATCGGATGGAAATGGTTGTTGAATCCCTTGTTATCATAACCAGTGCAGGGTATCGTGGTTAACTTTCCATACGAGGCTGAATTTATTCAAATCAGATCACAAAGACAAGTCCTTCAATTTCACTTCTAGATGTATTAGTAATACATTAATAACACAAAGATCAGGTCCATCGTGTATACCCAACAGAATATGATAACGCACACGACAGACTCTTTTACATCAGCAGCTTACCTCGATCTTTCCCTATAATGAAACCAACATTGATAGTGTTCCACAGAGTTGAATATTAATTCATGATTTACATAGCAACAAGTTTGTTTCCCAAACCCACGGTGTTACCATTTCGCAGCTGATTTAAGGGCTTGTTCCCATTACCAACCTTGTGTGTCAGTCCGTACTTGCGCATTATTATCATTGCGTGCAGGATGTTTACAAACAGACACACACGAAACAGGATTTCAAGTTAATGGAGATTACATGATTATCACTTTGGGGTTCTTCGTTATATGCGTGAATGTTTGGGCGTGTTTCTTGATCGTTTTTTTTTCATTTGGGAACTTGACATTACTTACGTGGATAGACCAATATCTACATTTCGAGAGTCGTCGATGAAGATAGAAAAGCACAACGAACACTTGTATTCAAATATAAGGACGACAATCTTGCGTAATAACTGTGACAATAATCACACTTTTGTGTACACGGTTTCGTATTATCTAAGTGGGCGAGGTATTATTTACCGGGCGCTAGACCACGCTTGGATCACGTTACTGTTTAAACAATCAGCAGACCTGGATGTTCGCAGTGACCAGCCCATTTCTCTAACACTTGTACCTGAGTATCGGTAAATATGGCGACATCGAACATAAATTAGACTGTTTGCATACTTTTTCTGACTACGCTTTACTTTTTAGAATATAAATCTTGTAATCTTGACATTCCTTTCTGCCAACACAATTGTCATAGCTCACCATATGAAATAGCATGTATAGAATGTAGTGTTTAGTTTCAAGTGTTAGTGATGATACCATGTGTAGTATGTAGTGTATAGGTTTAAGCATTAGTGGTGATAATATGTGTAGTATGTAGTGTTTAGTTTGAAGTGTTAATGGTGATAACATGTGTAGTATGTAGTGTTTAGTTTGAAGTGTTAATGGTGATAACATGTGTAGTATGTAGTGTTTAGTTTGAAGTGTTAGTGGTGATAACATGTGTAGTATGTAGTGTTTAGTTTGAAGTGTTAGTGGTGATACCATGTGTAGTATGTAGTGTTTAGTTTGAAGTGTTAGTGGTGATACCATGTGTAGTATGTAGTGTTTAGGTTTAAGCGTTAGTGGTGATACCATGTGTAGTATGTAGTGTTTAGTTTGAAGTGTTAGTGGTGATACCATGTGTAGTATGTAGTGTTTAGGTTTCAGCGTTAATGGTGATAATATGTGTAGTATGTAGTGTTTAGTTTGAAGTGTTAATGGTGATAACATGTGTAGTATGTAGTGTTTAGTTTGAAGTGTTAATGGTGATAACATGTGTAGTATGTAGTGTTTAGTTTGAAGTGTTAATGGTGATACCATGTGTAGTATGTAGTGTTTAGTTTGAAGTGTTAGTGGTGATACCAGGTATAGTATGTAGTGTTTAGTTTGAAGTGTTAATGGTGATACCATGTGTAGTATGTAGTGTTTAGGTTTCAGCGTTAATGGTGATAACATGTGTATTATGTAGTGTTTAGTTTGAAGTGTTAGTGGTGATACCATGTATAGTATGTAGTGTTTAGTTTGAAGTGTTAATGGTGATAACATGTGTAGTATGTAGTGTTTAGTTTGAAGTATTAGTGGTGATACCATGTATAGTATGTAGTGTTTAGTTTGAAGTGTTAATGGTGATAACATGTGTAGTATGTAGTGTTTAGTTTGAAGTGTTAATGGTGATACCATGTGTAGTATGTAGTGTTTAGGTTTCAGCGTTAATGGTGATAACATGTGTAGTATGTAGTGTTTAGTTTGAAGTGTTAGTGGTGATACCATGTATAGTATGTAGTGTTTAGTTTGAAGTGTTAATGGTGATACCATGTGTAGTATATAGTGTTTAGTTTGAAGTGTTAATGGTGATAACATGTGTAGTATATAGTGTTTAGTTTGAAGTGTTAATGGTGATACCATGTGTAGTATGTAATGTATAGGTTTAAGCGTTAGTGGTGATACCATGTGTAGTATGTAGTGTTTAGTTTGAAGTGTTAGTGGTGATAACATGTGTAGTATGTAGTGTTTAGTTTGAAGTGTTAATGGTGATACCATGTGTAGTATGTAGTGTTTAGGTTTCAGCGTTAGTGGTGATAACATGTGTAGTATGTAGTGTTTAGTTTGAAGTGTTAGTGGTGATACCATGTGTAGTATGTAGTGTTTAGGTTTCAGCGTTAATGGTGATAACATGTGTAGTATGTAGTGTTTAGGTTTCAGCGTTAATGGTGATAATATGTGTAGTATGTAGTGTTTAGTTTGAAGTGTTAATGGTGATAACATGTGTAGTATGTAGTGTTTAGTTTGAAGTGTTAATGGTGATAACATGTGTAGTATGTAGTGTTTAGTTTGAAGTGTTAATGGTGATAGCATGTGTAGTATGTAGTGTTTAGTTTGAAGTGTTAATGGTGATAACATGTGTAGTATATAGTGTTTAGTTTGAAGTGTTAATGGTGATACCATGTGTTGTATGTAATATATAGGTTTAAGCGTTAGTGGTGATACCATGTATAGTATGTAGTGTATAGGTTTAAGCGTTAGTGGTGATACCATGTATAGTATGTAGTGTTTAGGTTTCAGCGTTAGTGGTGATAACATGTGTAGTATGTAGTGTTTAGTTTGAAGTGTTAGTGGTGATACCATGTATAGTATGTAGTGTTTAGGTTTAAGCGTTAGTGGTAATACCATGTGTAGTATGTAGTGTATAGTTTGAAGTGTTAATGGTGATACCATGTATAGTATGTAGTGTTTAAGCGTTAGTGGTGATACACCGTAATGGTAAGGGTACACAAGTCAGATTATACCAAATTATTGTGATTAGGTATCGACATTTTTTACTGATGTTGAGTAAATAAACTTCAGAGCTTCGACCCTAAACATTCAAACGCTGATTGTGGAAAAAATAAGTAATTTCCAGAGGTATGCCCCATGCTAACAGAAGGGTCTACTATTTGTCTACCATCGCCATTTTTTAAAGCTCAAAGTATAAATCCTTCAATACATTTACTATATCTGTATACATTTTGATAGAAATTAGAACTTGGACTTAACCACGTGACCTACCGAGGTCTTGGGATGTTCGACGTGTTTTTCTAAACTTACAAGCTATATTGTATCATTGCATAAATAATTAGGACAGATATTAACACACGCCCTGAGCATAAGTTGACTTACAGAAAAGAACTACCTTTGGTAACCTTCGACTTTAACAAAGGCGTCTGACTAGAAATAGTGTGGCTATATAGTGATGTACATTCATTAAGGGTATTGGTATCATGAGACTTCTCCTGTTTGGAAATCATATGGATAAAGAAATGACCTTTCGATTAGAGTGCGACATGCATATGAAAATGACGATTTTTTTATTTCCACGGTTATCGTTTGAATGCCGACAAGTGCTTTTTGCTTATTTCCGTTACTTCATAAAGGATCGGTGTTCTGAATTTTATCGACTCCATACAGAAATAAAAATGTCGATAGAACGTTAGAATAATTCGGACTAATTATGTGACATCACCTGCAGTTGATTCGTTTATGTTATGAGAACAACGGTTTCAAACGATGCACGCTAGCGGCCATTATTCAAAGGAACGGTACACGAATAGTGACACGGAAGAGAAAGTCGCTATTTACAACAAATGGGCATTAACTTATGATGATGTGAGTAACATTCAACATTCATTTATACAGAAGAAAGTCAGGTATAGATATTTTGACATACTAAGTCTATCCAATCTCAAAAGAAAAACAGGTTAATATCAACAAGACCACCAGGCATACTAACGATCATCGGTCACATAGCACGATAGTGTATATCCTTATTTTCCCGTAGCCATCGACAACATTTATTTGGATATAATCAAATGCAACCTGTTGCCCAGTTCGTGGATCAATAAAATATCCTTGGAAAAACAATGAGAAACATTTATTTGAAATATGTTTATAAAACAAGTTCTATGTCACTTGACCACAATTAAGTATATGTATAACATTTCTACGAAAGAAATGGATTTTCGTCTAGGATTATGGGACCGATCGCCGAACTGGTCCTTTCTTCGCAGCAGCCGGTCTTGGAGCATGCGTGGTTGATGAAGAACGTCGGAAGTCTGTGCGTATACTTGATGTTGCAGCAGGAACAGGCACTGTTGCGTTAGAGGTAAATGTTCATTAGATCATGCATTGATCGAATCATCCCTGTAATCTAATACTACGGAATTTGTATAATTTTCACTGTAATTACTGTAATTCACTAATGTGGACGTTGTTACCATGCTGTTAAGTTACAGAAGTTGGGTTTCGCCGAGATTGACGCTCTGGACCCTTCCCCCGGAATGCTCGACAAAGCTCGAGCAAAAGGAATCTACAAGAACATATTTTGTCAGTTTCTAACTGAACAACCCTGCGACATACCGACTGGTCAGTATCAGAACACACTAATACACAAACCTATGGTCTGTTAGTATGTATAGTATCAAGGGTTGTAACGACACCAAAAGGAGAGTCTGACTTTTTGTATCTAAATGATGTTTTAATCCCTTATGAACTGTAAAATTTAGTTAAATAATAAATGATATTTAATCGTAAGGAGATATTCCTCTGGACTGTGTCATCAGCCAAGTTGGTCAGGCATTCTGCAAGTTATCTAGTAATGAATTCCAAAATGTCGATTATGCTCGCTAGACATTTGCCTGTACACTGCAATATTTACAAGACAGTATATTTATCATTAAAACTGTTGTGTGAAAAGATAGTGAGAACAAAGGGTATATCAGGGTACGACAGACTCTTTTGCCATCAACTGATAGTGCAGACCATATTTGGTCAAAAACGCAGTCTTGAGAACTTCTGGCAACAAACTAAAAATGATATCAAATACGAAAAAATGAAACAGATTTCTTATACTTACGAGAGGACAGTACATGTAACATTCTTAACGTAGATAATATTTCATTTTCACTAATTTGACATGTGTATTAAAATCCTGCTGGTATGTATGTAAAGTCCCAGTCAGATTCTCGTTAATGGCATTGATAGCTCACGGAATAGAGTTTATGACTAGGAGATAATTCCTTCCTATGTTATTACAATATCTAAACAACTAAGCAACAATAGCTGTAATGAGAGTTTGTAGAGTATAACGGGACCTGAAACGCTCTTACAGGCATTCAATACTTCGTTCAGGACGAATATGTTCATGCAGCGATGTCGATAATATATCGGTACCACAAGCCATTACTAGTCCTCATCGGAAACCGGGATGGGGCTTTAGATTTGTGTGTCAGTCCGTACTTGCGCATTATTATCCATGCGCTAAATGTTGCTTGAACTTCAAATTTGGAATATGGGTTCATCTTGTTTCGGTTACCTGTAGTGTATCAAAGGTCACTTGGAACTACATTGTAAATTTTGACCTATGACCTATATTAAAGAATAATCTTAACGGCTCTATAGCTTACACTGCTAGTCACTTGAACTTCATACCTGGACCGTGGGCAAACTAGCAGTGCATTCTTGGCATGTAATTTCACATTGGATGGGGACTGTAATTCGCTGAATGGTCTTGTTATTTGAATCGATGCCTGTTTGTTTGATTTAAATATTTCTTTACTGTTTCTTTGCTGTCGACAGGAAGTTATGATTGCGTGGTCATGTGCAGCGCCATAGGATCTGGTCACGTGCCAGCAGGTGCCTTTGTAGAGATTCTGCGGATCACGCGCCCAGGTACACATATCCGTAATGTGGTTGTATTTCATATCATAATAGAAGTATATATAATTATAACTTTTAAAGTACAATATCTTGTGATTATATTTCTTTGTTTGATATAAAGATAATAAAGCTTTTTAAATTTGTCAGATTTCTAGTGTAAGATCTATAATGATTAAAAGTATAAATACATGTAATACACAAGGTAGAATGTAGTGTCACATTATCAAGAAACAACAAATTAAATACCAGCAGAAGTTATAATTCATTTCCAATTCGATGAAACTAGGGTAAATGTGAACAAAAGAAACTCGCATAAAAATGTAGGGAGAATAAGACCAGGTGTTCCGGAAGGGTAAGCGTCTCCTTCTCCATCGACGAAGCCCGTGATGACAGAACTTGGAATAGTAGCCAGATGTTTGAATATCGTATTTTTACAATTAATTAGACAAGACAGCAAGGGTTCCTACATAAACGAGGGCGGTCCGTATCCTTATCATGAATAGGCAGTCTAAATTATTTTGATACTGAAGCATAATTAGTCAGTGTGTCTTCTTTTGAAATATTGGTTCATGTTTACATAGAAATTACTCGGTCAGGTATAGGAGAAAATTACTTCTTCGTGGGTATGAAAGGTAGCTTAAAAATCCACCATCAGAGTCCAGATATGTTCAAATTGATTATCGTTGGTGTGGGGTCAAATATCATATAAACCCTTGGGAGGGTTATCATAGATTGTCGTTGCACTTTTCAACTTTAACATGCGGCCTTTAAATGTTCTCCCACATCTGTCATATTTAGATATTAATTACTTTGTAACTCTACATATAATCTGTGTTGCCTCTTTCACTATGACCTGGTGTTAGTTACAACATTTCTTCTATCAGGTGGATTCATCGTCCTCGCTGCCAACAGTTTAAATTTACATAAGGAAACTGGGAACTGTCGGCAAGAATTCTGTCAGGTGTTCGATTCACTGGAGGCTCAGGGCAAATGGATCAAAGTCACAGAGAAGACATTTCCTAATTATAGCGGGGATGCCGACGGGATTCTTATGACATTCAGAGTGTGCTAGCGATGTCATATTAATGATAGGATCCTCATCACATCCATTTTATTCCAGATTGTTTTCAATTAAGTTTATTTTTTGGCATTTGTGTGCTGTATTGGTGTGAGGCCGAAAGCCTAATACGGCCAACCGAGGGGAAATAACCTTGGCAAATATTGAAAATACTAATTCATAATCAGATCATTAACCAACTTCTCCATTTATTTGTAAAGTTTTCTGGTTGTTTTAATGCTTATGCACAATGTACATTATAATTATCGGTACAAAGTTCTCTTTGTCATGGTAAAATATAAACAAATTGATTGTAACTTGAGCTGTACTGTCTTAATTTGAAAAGGATGAAACAATAAACATGTTTATATAGAACAACCAATTATTAATTTATTTGTATTCATAACGAATAGCTTAAACTAGATTGGACATGAAATATATCTATTTGTACAAGCTTAAACACTTCTATTTACGTTTGCTTCAATAAGGATGTCTGTGTATTGATCACTATCTAGATTCAGGTGTGTTGGATATATGATCAGAAATACACCAGTAACCACCTTAATCGCTTACGGTTTCATCGAACACAAGCATGCCAAAACTAGATGAGATCGTGAAAACTAACCCGTCTCTCAAAATAAAAACCCTCCAAGAATGGAAAAGCTCGATGACGTCATGACAACTATCCCGTCGGTCCAAATACCTTTAGCGCTGGGATGACGCCATATTTAATTGGCCGCTATACGTGATATGGACCTGATTACCTGTCTCAGTACACCTTATCTCTGCTATACTGTGCTCGTTGTATTGTTGAAGCCAAGTCTAGAGGAGTGTAGAAAAAACTGCGGAAGGCAATCCTGTCTATAAGCGGTATGACCAATATTCTATGCTGTTTAGAATCGCTTATATAACAAAGAGAGATCCAGATTCGACTTTAGCAATTGTATTTTCGACGAAAATTTTCATTAGATATCATGTTGGAACACAATTATGATAAAATCAGAGAACCCCCAAAATAGCTTTACAAACCAAACACTTTAATGTCGAAGTAGAATAAATCGTTCTAAATATCTGAAAGTGGACAAGAACCATTAAGCTAAAGTTTAGTCAACTGTTGGGTGTTCTTTGATAAAAAGTTAAAATGTCACATACATGGCCTTTATTCAGAATGTGGCTGGAGGAAATGTATCGTAAGAATTATAATTAAACGTCAAAGGAATAAAAACAATGAAGTCAAAATAAACTTTTCTACTATATCAATCGAACAAATTGATTTCAGCCTGATGGGTGTGTGATGGTATTTAAATATGAGTTAAAAGATAGCAGGCAAGGAATGAAATACTGCATTAATTTTACCTCAACTTATTCTTTAACAAAACAACAGTCGTGACTATCTACAAGATGAATTTATCAAGGAAATAGAAGCGAAGTATCGTAATTTTTTCTAGAGTTCCGGCCGTTTTACTGAATGAATGATTTTTTCACGAAACGGTTTGACCAATATTTGATAGAACTCACTATCTCCACTTGAAATAAAATTCTGCGGACGGAACTTCACTATGATTTCTTATTCTTTACCATAAATTCTAGCAGACTTTATTTTGTTTCATAAGTCAAGTATACCTGTGAAAAGATATGATAAAACGTTCCATACTACTGGCGCGCTAGCAGGAGTGTTAGTGACGCTTTCACACACCTAGCTAGCTGGATGACCCTATGATGTTTATCGCTAAATTAATGTCGGTCATTCTTTTCATTTGGACTATTTGGGAAGATAATAACATGCACAAGAAGTTGATAACGAAACAATAAGTCACTTGTAATAGAAATGGAGTGAATGTAAAGGATCAAGTGATTCACGTTTAGATCTAGAGATGAATGGTATTTTTAGCTTCGGTTAAACATTTCAGCCTTGTGACGTCAGCATAGCTTATTCAACCATGACAGTAAGATTTGATATAAAAGTATGTAGTATTACGTGAGACAACTGATGAAATCTACTACCAAACAGAAATCAGGAGACGGCTTTAACTCGCCATAAGAACGTGAACAGACCATTTGTTCATTATCTGCCTAATTCTTCAAATCCTTGAGAAATCAGTGACAGAATTCTTCATTACGAGGAGAAATCAACAGCCGAATTCTTACTCGCCAGGAAGAATCAACAGCCGTATTGTAAGTATCCAGACACAGGCTGTCATGTAAAATAGGCTGTTTTGCTTGATAAATGTTACAAAAAAATCCTTTTCATAAATAAGTACTGTTGTCATGCGATATGTATTAAATGTTTTTTGAAATGTTTCCTTTTACTGGAGCTCAGAGTTCTATTTTAAACTCGTTACAGATCCCTTTGATTACACCATGGCTATAAAAATCAACCCGTCGGACTGGTCAGTGTACAAGACCAAAGACAATGTACAGAAGGTGCAATATTATAATGACATCGCAACAATGTACGACAAGGTAGGTACATCAGGTATAGAAGTATCTCCAAAGTCACTTTATATACAATAGATGTACGAGTATGGAAATGTATGGTACGGTAGGAGTATCAGAGTGGTTAATATAAGCAAAGAGGAAAAAACAAGGATAAAATATCGCGTATTCCGAAACGGTAACTGTCTTTGCCTTCATCGACGATTTATGCCATATACGTCAATCCATGTATCATCAGGTCTTCAAAATAAACGAACCCACTATACATATCAAGCATATCGAAAAGCATCGGATACATCCAAACCCCATATCGTATTTACTAAAAACAAGTTCCAATAGTCTTTAACAATATAAACAGTTATACACAATAAATTGGGAGATGAGGAAAGAATGATATTGCTATCTAGCAATGGAAAATTGATAAAACATTAAAATCATCGGTTTAGCCGTACATAGATGGAAAACTATTAATGTTGGTTGAAATGTAAGTACATAACGAGGTTTGTGAAGAAGACTTTAGAAGGATACATTACATAGACATGGCTGTTTAACTTAAATACGGATTAATCACAAATACCTTGTCACGTCCTTCAATTACACCTCTAGATATATGAATGATATCTTTGAAAAACAAAACAAGAAAAAAAGTTGATCTCGTCCATCCTATATACACATTAGCATCGCAAATCTTCTAAATCAACAGCTTACCTTGGTCTTTTTTTTTTACAACGAACAAACAAGAACAGTGTTCCACTGACTTGTATACTAACCGTAGTGATTTCAATTCCTCTATTGTGAAATTTCCATTTCTACATAGCAACAAACCTGGTTCTCCAACCAATTTTGATAAACTGTTGCAGTTGATTCGATTTCCAAGGGTTTGTTCCCGTGTTCCCAATATAAAATTGCAGGGTGTCGATTACAAACTGACATACTGAAAACACCGCTTTTCAAATGACGCTGCATATTCAAGATGTAGAGGAAGTTTTATAAACGGCATAACCAACAGATTGGGAAAGATGGACGTTTTTGAGATTTGTTACTTGGCTTGATGGTTCCGTTTTTGTTTTTGTATTCATTTGGGAACGTGACATTACTTACCTGTACAGGCAACAATCTACATGGCTTTTGTCGTCGATGACCTTCCTGAACACCTGCTTTTATTATTTATGTTGGAATTTGCATTGCTATTTTATAGAGGATGCATCAAATTTCTGCACATATGTCGGATGTAGTGGCTTTTATTTGAATAATTTAGCATTTATGTTAAGAGTATGACATAATCAGTTCACCAAACGTGTAACCTGAATATATCAATGTCATTTTGCAAGAGAGTAAAATGATACATTTGAATGCACAGTCTATCTATGTAGGCGTATTATCATTTATCGGTCACTAGATCAACCACCACACGTACTTCAAACTCTTATCACCAGGTAATCATTTTAAACACTCTAAAGACGTAGATGTTCTCTGTAAACAGCTCATTTCTCTTGATCATGTTCCAGTGACACTTGATTTCATTATGTGGTTGACATGCCTTCTTTTATTCGTACCGAAAGCATTACTTCCGGTGAATATAGCGGGATCGAGTTTAAAGTAGAATTGTAAAGGGCAGCACTTTTTCTACCTCGGAATATAAATCTTGTAAACATGACATCGCCTTCAGTCAATAGAATCACCAAAGGTCAACACATGTATATGAAAAAAACCATTGTTTTTTAAAGCAATATACATCTACAAACAATAGTGTTGATTATATAATTGGTTTTCTATGTTGAATGACGAAGCTAGATTTTCAACGAAGAAATAATACTATCAAACTGAAGTGAGATATGGACAAGGGGTCATATGTCATGTATCGTTCATCAGACTTAGTTCGCTGAAATTGCTTTATTTAAACTAAATGAGAAAAAAAAACCCACTAAAAGTGTTATATTTATTTCCCCCATAGGCACCGTTCAAAATCTAATTTATTATTGTAATATTAATACAAGCAAACTGGTAACATGTTTTGTAAAAGATTCAGAGATTTAGAAAATTGTCATCTTTTCGTTTGATTTAGCATGGTTGTTTGTGCAAAATAGGAACATTTTCTATTGCAATTAATCACTTATTGATGGGTTCACATTCATCATGATATCTCTCCTACCACACTGCTTTCAAGGTCTATGTAAATTTAGTCCCGAAGACAGGCTTTTCAGAACTGAAGGTGCAGTATATTTTTATACTGACACCATTTATTCAACAATCAAGCATTTTGCAACATACATAAATGAAATGTGTTAATATCTATTTTAAGTCATTAATACTACATATTTCGACAATATTGATTTTGATCAAACTCAACGCATCATCATTCATTAATACCGTTCAACATAAACAAAAAGTTTACGCTCATTAAACGAAAGTAACTCGAACAGAAAAACAATATCTTTCGGCAAGTAAAACTTGTTGTATAGTCGCTTCGATCATTAACATAAAAACAGTATCATTATATGAGTTAGAAATTCGATTTCGCCTAGGATTATGGGACCGATCGACGAACTGGCCCTTTCTTCGCAGCAGCCGGTCTTGGAGCATGCGTGGTTGATGAAGAACGCCGGAAGTCTGTGCGTATACTTGATGTTGCAGCAGGAACAGGCACTGTTGCGTTAGAGGTAAATGTTCATTAGATCATGCATTGATCGAATCATACTTGTAATCTAATACTACTTTTGGAATTTGTATAATTTTCACTGTAATTCACTAATGTGAACGTTGTTACCATGCTGTTTAGTTACAGAAGTTGGGTTTCGCCGAGATTGACGCTCTGGACCCTTCCCCCGGAATGCTCGACCAAGCTCGAACAAAAGGTGTCTACAAGAACATGATTTGTCAGTTTCTAACTGAACAACCCTGCGACATACCGACTGGTCAGTATCAGAACACACTAATACACAAACCTACGGTCTGTTTGTATGTATTGTAACAAGGGTTGTAACAACACCAAAAGTAGAGTCTGACTTTTTGTATCTAAATGATGTTTTAATCCCTTATGAACTGTAGATTTTAGTTAAATAATAAATAATATTTAATCGTAAGGAGAAAGTTCAATATTCTGTAGATTTTAGTTAAATAATAAATAATATTTAATCGTAAGGAGAAAGTTAAATATTTTTCTGGACTGTGTCATCAGCCAAGTTGGTCAGGCATTCTGCAAGTTATCGAGTAATGAATTCCAAAATGTCGACATCACTAACATAACATTGTATTCATCATTAAAACTAGTAATAAGAAGAAAACGCCTTGCTGTATTTACATTTAAACGGCTGATGTCTTTAGGGCAGTTCCAGTACCTGGAGTTCTTTAATATTGCATGCTGTGTTCTGTTGTTGTTAAACATATAAATCAATGAAAGCAAAAACCTCGATAGAAAGTGTACAAATTGGAGGTTTCAAATAGGATAAGGTAGGGGTAAATTACTTGCACAGATGCCGTGTTGTGTCTTCAAATAATATCAACAATAAACAATACGAAATTTCAAGGTAACTTTGCCTTCTAATCTATGATTTGGGAAAACTCAACCCAACAATAGTACAGACCATGTTTGGCCCAATTCCCAATATTCGGTCTAGGTGGTGAACTCCTACTGGCAACCAGCTAAAGATATGTCAAATATGAAAATGACTTTAAGACTCAAGTTTCATATAAGTAAGAGGAACACGAGAGGGGTCATTCTAAATGCAGATAACATTACATTTTAATTAATTTGACACGTTTTGTAAAATTTCACAAGTTAGTATGTAAAGTACTACCCCATCAATTTCTCGTTAATGGCATTGATAGCTCACGGAATAGAGTTTAGGACTCAGATATAATTCCTTCCTATATTATTACAATATCTAACAACTAAGCAACAATAGTTGAGATGAGAGGTTTGTAGAGTATAACGGGACCTGAAACGCTCTTAAAGGCATACAATACTTTGTTCATGGACGAATACATTCATGCATGCAATGTTAGATTGCCAAATTACAAAATAAATATTGTATGTACAAATCATCATTAGTCACCCAACGGGATGAGACTTTAGGTGTGTATCTCCTGCGCTAATTGTCATTTGAACTTTGAACTTGGGGTATGGGTTCAGTTTCTGTCGGTAGGTCACTCTGAACTACGTTGTAAATTTTGACCTTTGACCTACTCCAAGGAATAATTGTAACGGCTCTATATTTTACACTGCTAGTCACTAAAACTTCATACTTTGGCCGGGGGTTCACTAGCCTAGCAGTGTATTTATGGCATAACATTTCACATTAGCCGGGACTGTAATTCGTCAAATGATCTTGTTATTTGAATCGATGCCTTAGTGTTTCCTTTAGATAGTGTTGTAATTCTTCTTTGATGTCGTCAGGAAGTTATGATTGCGTTGTCATGTGCAGCGCCATAGGATGCGGTCACGTGCCTGCAGGTGCCTTCGCCGAAATCCACCGGATCACGCGCCCAGGTACACTTATCCTTTATATGGTTGTATTCAATATCATAATGGAAGTTATTGTTATGTTTCTTCGTTCGATTTAAAAACAATAACATTTGTCGGATTTTCCGGGATAAGATCCATTTAGTTGTCTTCCCTGGACTTGACAATGCAGCATATATGCATGTATCAAGCTATCAACGAAACCTGAACGTTAGGTCTGTAGTTCTGAATAGCTGTTCGCATAGAGACACCACAGAATATACCGATATGTCAGCAGAATGTGTAATTCAAACTCAAATTCTACTTCAACTACGTTCCTCCTGTAAATCTTGGTAAATCTTGATTGGTTATGTCACGTTTCCGCATGAGAACAAGGTAAACAACGGGCTATCAAGTATGTTAATGAGCACAAGTAAAAGAATATCTTTTAACAAAATCATGATGACGACATTACACTTTCTCCTGATCTTCATCAACCTACATCTCACGAAACCCTGTGTTCTGAGTTTGTCTATCAGTTATCGACGTCTTGCACGAAAATCGTGATATTTAGATCCGTCACTTCAATACCGAATCAACTACGACATGTTTACACCAAAGTGTGGCATTTAGGGAATGTTGTTAATCGAAAAAGTACGACGATGAAACTGAAATCAGTATGCTGGGTGAAAAACTGCCACTGTTGGTTTCATTAAAGAAAAAGATCGAGGTAAGCGGCTAATGAAGACGAGTTTGACGATATCTTATTCCGGTTGGTATGTACGATGAACGTGGTCGATAGTCAATAAATTTCTTGGTATTTACAGACAAAACGTTGTCAATATATCTCAATGTGGAATTTGTTATGTTTTGATGATAAGTTCTTCGATAATGAAAACCTTAAAAGGCTATAGAGGTGCAGAGTTAGTTATGCAAATAGTATGTTGGAAAACATTACTACAGAACTCGACGAAGTTATTGTCAACCAGAAATTCGATCGTAAAATATTTCTTGATTTGAACGTGCTTTTTTCACGAAACACTCATCACAACCGTGTTCTCGTTTGAGAACGTGACATTACTTACTTTGATGGATCAAGGTTTACATGGCGGGTGTCGTCGATTTAGCAGAAAACGCTTACTCTTCTAGAACAGCTGGTCTTGTTCTCCTTTTACTTTTTCATGAGTCTGTGTAAAATTTTGTTCATATTTTGCCCTAACTCTATTGAATTTTTGTTTGGATTATGATTGTGTTGACATGTTAGTATTTTCTTGTTTTCTGCCGTTCAACTCTGTCTTTGGAAGCGGGTAGGGAGTGGGAGAGGGGGCTGGGGGAGAAAGCTCTAATGACAAGAGAACGAGGACGTTCCTGTATTTTAGAATGTCGTTTGGAAGTTTACACAATGAAAATGCTCTTATAGAAAATTTTTTAGAGGGAACAGCTTCTTTAGGAAGATTTGGTTACTTGTCAAAATGAGTCAAAATAATGGATTACCCTTCATGTGGGTTAATATTATGTTAACCCTAAGGCGGATTATATTAGCTTATCGTTGCACCTCTTAGCTTCAACAACCAGCCTTTAAACGTCATTTTCACACATCTGTCATATCTAGATATTAATTATTTTGTGATTCTACATATAATCTGTGTTGCCTCTTTCACTATGACCTGGTGTTAGTTACAATATTTCTTCCCTCAGGGGGATTCATCGTCCTCGCTGCCAACAGTAAGATGTTAAACAAGGAAACTGGAGAGTGTCGGCAGGAATTCTGTCAGGTGTTCGATTCACTGGAGGCTCAGGGCAAATGGATCAAAGTCACAGAGAAGACATTTCCTAATTATAGCGGGGATTTCGACGGGGTTCTTATGACATTCAGAGCGTCTTAGTGGTATCGTATTAACGACGGGATCCTCATGGTATTCATGTCATTTTAGCGATGTCATGTGTCATCAGACGTGGACGCTCACAGCGGGATCCTCACATAGTATTCATATTATTCCAGAGAAATTGTCAAGTTTATCATGGTAAACAGTTTCCTGTCGATATGTGCGCAGAAACCGGTTGTACATTTTATACAGATGGTTATCGAGAAAAAATAAACATAGTTACACACCTGTTGTCGGCAATTTCGCGAGCAACCATTAACGTTCCCACAATGACTTTGATAATTAATTTCCCAAGCATAACTTTCTCACATTGCTGTTTATAATTAATCTTCCAAGGATAACGTTTCCCACATTGCTGTTTATAATTAATGTCCCAAAACATAACTTTCTCACATTGCTGTTAATAATTAATTATACCAAGCATAACTTTCTCACATTGCTGTTAACATTTAATTTCCCAAGGATAACTTTTCTCGCATTGCTGTTAATAATAAATTTCCCAAGAATAACGTTTCCCACATTGTGTTTAATTATTAACTTCCCAAGCATAACTTTTCCCGCATTGCTGTTAATAATTAATGTCCCAAAGCATAACTTTCTCACATTGCTGTTAATAATTTCCCAAACATAACGTTTTCCACATTTTTGTTAATAATTAATTTTACCAAGCACAACTTTTTCCCACATTGCTGTTAACAATTTATTTCCAAAGCAAAACTTTCTCCCATTGCTGTTAACAATTAACTTCCCAAGCATAACGTTTCCCACATTGCTGTTAACAATTAATTTCCAAAGCATAACTTTCCCCAAATTGTTTTTAAACACGGATTTGAATTTCATACACTACTGTCAAGTATCAACACGTGAAAAAAAATGTTTAGAAGAGAAAAAAATTCCTTTGTTGATGCATTAGAGACACAGACACTGCAAATCATAAATACTTTTATTTCATCATTGTTAAAAATGATTAAGATCTAAGTAATAATATAAATTTGATAGATCGTTAAAACTTAAATATTGCGAAATTAAGCACGTATCAAATAAAACTCACGTGTACACGTTCTGTTTGACATTTACATCGCTCGCTGCATACGCTTCAAGAAGTAAAACGTATAGAACACAAGGACAGAATAAGAGAAACATTCAACATCAAGAAGTACAAAAGAAATTTCATTCTTCATAGAATTAAAATTATTTTGATTTGATTTCCTTAGTAACATAATATATTTTATTTGTATTTGTTTGGATATTTCTAATTATAGAATACCCAATAATGGTTGAAACAACATTGGTCTATTTTCCTGGTCATATAATAAACTAGTGCTGTTTTCATTTCACGGTTTGTGTCACAACTTTCAAACGCGTAACATCAAAAACGTTTGCTTACAACAACAAATCACAAAACAAAAACAACATAACCTCCCTGAATAATCATAAAAATACAATAGCAAAAGTAATCAAATATCCAATGTTTATAAATAATACAATAACAACACAGACAAGCTTTAACAAAGGAATGGCACGAGATTTGGTTCTATAGGAAATGTGACAAAAACATTTCCTTATCCCTTCTATCACATTTTTTTATACTACAGTCCGTCTATGATCCACGTGTACACGTGTGGATATCCCGTGGTATAGATATCTATACACATACGGGTACCACGTGCCACAGACGCAAGTACAGAGTAGAATATCGAGTATGCAGATCAAATGACATTTTTTATGGTTATCTTACAGATGGATTTCATCTAGAATAATACAGTTTGATAAAAATTACTTAAGTACATTAATTTTTTCGGTAATAAATATATATCTTACATAATTCTTGTAAACAAGGTTGTAACATTTGACAGAATTGAACATTCTGAATGTTGGAAGTCAAGCCCCATTCATGCATGATTTGAAACTCGTTTATAAAGCTATGCGACATTCATGCCAATCTCGAATCACGTGATATTCACGCGAATTTCAAAAATCGTATTTATAAAATATAATAAATACAGATAAAATATTTTAAAGGTCAACAAGGATTTCATCCCGAATATTACAGGTTGCTATAACTGATGTACATGTATTTTTAACAATAATACTAATATTAATATTATTGATATTAATAAATATATATCTACTATACATGCATTTTTTTGTAAACAAGGTTGTAACATTTTCCAGATTTCAATGTCGTATGTCGAGTTAAGCGACATTCACACTAATTTAAAAAATCGTATTTATAAAATAGAGTAAAGACAGATAAAATATTTTAATGGTTAACAAGGATTTCATCCAGAATATTACAGGTTGCTATAAATAACAGATGCACATGTATCATTTCGGTAATAAATATATATCTAACATACATGTATTTTTTGTAAACAAGGTGGTAACATTTTCCAGTTTTCAATGTCGTATGTCGAATGTCGAGTCAAGCGACATTCATGCCAATTTCGAATGTCGTATGTATGTATGAAGCTAGATAATAAGACAACTTCACGCGGGGTACGATTCGACCTTCAGTAAGTGGTAGGTTACATATGCGAGAAAGGTCTATATATTGTAAAATTGTCAGACGTAATGTTCTTTTCAAGTACGAAATAATGAGTTGTGTCCTAGAATACAGAGTACAATCTACTGACTTCTACTGAGGATAAAATCAGCTAACGCTCATCAAATCGTGTAATGTTAATCTATTTTTTCATAAGACGTCCAACAAAGATAAAACGGAAAAGGCAGAGGCAGATAATCCAAACTATTTACGTCCAAGCTGAAACACTGCCAGTACTTTTTGGTTTTACGATCCGTAAACTTAGACATTTAAGACGTTTTTTTATCATACCAATTAGATTACAATCCCTAGTTACATTGTAATGCAAAAACGTGCATTGTGTTAAGAAAAGTATTGCACGCGATTCATAAAAAGTCGTTTGTAAGATATAAAAACATAATAATACAAACTCATCACTGTGGTGTTATATGTAGCGATAACACTGAACTTTACTTTGAAGCACGTCACAATGAACCTTATATATTGACGACCTAGATGGCAACAGATCTTGTATTGTACCTCGACCTAAATGTCCGCGGACATGACTCTTGGTTGTCCGTGGTGCGATATGACTCCTGTATCTCGACCTAAATGTCCGCGGACATGACTCTTGGTTTTCCGTGGTGCTCTATGACTCCTGTATCTCGACCTAAATGTCCGCGGACATGACTCTTGATTTCCGTGGTGCTATATGACTCCTGTATATCGACCTAAATGTCCGCGGACATGACTCTTGCTTGTCCGTGGTGCGATATGAAGATCTCGGCAGGGTAGCGTTGCTCCCAGGGTTCTCCATCAACCTGCATCGGTACTTTACCTCCGTGTAACGTTATCTTAAAAAAAGGAATGTTCGTATAATAATTTCAGGCTGGCCAGTATATAAGAAATGAGGTGTTGACTGATTTGATAGTCAATGTTCTGTCATTAAATTAACGTACATTTCTCATCCTTACATCAAACAGTTCTATGCTCGTTAGTTTGCTTGCTGGTTCCTTGTTGTTTATCTTGTTCTCACATTGAGAACGTGACATTACCTACTTGAACTGACCAATGTTTACATGGCAGGTATCTCGCTGAAGCAGAAGACGCTTACTCTTCCGGAACACTTTCTACTTCTTCCGTAGTCCCCGTGTAAATCTTTCTTTTGTTGGGATTTTGCTCTAGTTTTATCTACTTTGAGTTTGGATTATGACTATGTTGACATGTTGGTATCTTCTTGTAGTTTTCAAAAGATTATTAATTACAAAGACACGTGTAAATAAACAGAACCGATCATAATCCTCATCTTGTTATCGAATGTCCTAATGTAATAGTGCTGTGGGATACTAAATAAGAGCCTTAACGGTCATCTGACAACAAAGAATAAGTAGCAGAACAAAACCTAATTATGTGAGAATTACATATGAATAAATAACAAGTCATTATCACATTGCAGCGATGACGTCACTTGAAGACTGTACAGGAGGCGCACAAGTGGATAGCACCATTTGATAATTTAGAGTTACATACAATAGAGCCAAACAATGAATTAAACTGCATCATACAGGTGTTCCGTCCTTCTAGGACTTGTCAGTGATGATAAGGGCATATATTATGAAGCCTTAGAGCCGACTGAGGAAAGTGATCGAAAGAAATGTCAAAATCGAAACGGGGAGATGCAGCAGTCACATGATTAAATAAACTTCGTAATTTTCTTGTATCAGATCATTTAAGAACAGCGTCAAGTACATGTGTATAAGTTAAAGGTAAGTATAAATCGTGATACTGGTAGCTTGTAAATATTTTACAAGGGATTAAGTGAATTTGTTGTAGAAAATAACTTTTTCATTTCAAGATAATTGATAGTGTATAACGATAACTAGGCAATATATATACAAACATGTAATCGTCACGATTTCCCTATATTAACGTTATCTATTACGTAACTTTCTACGGTAGTCAATGATTGGCTGTTCTGTATTGTACAAAAAGTTAATAAACAGCAATTTGAGAATTAGAAATACTGCTAAAATGAAGCAAGATTTGCTGGCAAACATTTAACATCCCCCAAAAGTCCTACATTATCATTACCTTCACTGTTCTGGCTTGACCTATCCTGAGCGGTGCCGCCATGCCGACCTGTAACTGGGCAATATGGAATGACGAGTAAAGAGCCATCACCTCCAGCAGGCCATCGTCATACCTACAGTACAAGGATAATAGTAGCAGGCCTCGAATTTAAGGCTTTTTACTGGCTATTTGCAAGTAGAAATCCAAGAATTGCAAGTAGAAAAAATAATGACTTGCTTTTTTCAGCAAGTGGATGATGCAAACTGTGAGTGCCTGTCTATTCCTAACATTTCACAGAATTAAATTGTTTTGAGTTTTGATTTTCAAAGTGTAAATATTGGGACAAAGCCGTTCTTCTATAATGTTGATATATATTGGATGAAGCAAGGTAATACATTATAAATAAAAAAACAAAACACATTATTTGAACATGGAGATTTGCGATAATAGCAAGTAAAAAGTCATTTTAGCAAGTACAAATTTAAGGCACTTGCTGTTTTTAGCAAGTGACAAAAAATGTTAAATTCGAGGCCTGAGTAGTGGTAGTTACAATACAAGATTCATTATACACGTCATGTCTATCGGTCACACTATTTAAGTATATTAATTTATTTATCGTAGTCATCCACTTATTAAGAGTCGTCTCCCTTTGTGGGAATAGAGAACGATACTTAAGACATAACAAAGGTCCTGACTTGTCACGGGGGCATGTTTCTATAAAATGCTATCTAATCGTGGCAGGTCCCGTAACACCAGATTGGTGTTTATATTGATACAGACGTAGAGCTGTGTGACTGTTAGTAAGAGATAAGGATCTGTGCCTGTTGATAGAGCCCAGACACTCTCACACGCTTGGAAGACATCGACACCCCGAGAATGATGACGGGAGGTCGTAATGTCACTTAAACTCGAACATATCACCTCGTACCCACATCTGATCGACATACACAGGACATAATCCGTGTCGACACCTATTGGTGGAAACTAGGCCATTTCAAAACACTGGACATAATTGCATCGACACGTCTACACATCAACATGATGTTGTGTTTCAACCTTCATGGTAAGTACGGATAGTTCCTGTTGAATTCCTGAACATAAAATCCAACCGACCTCTTGTCTACATATCTTCAAAACCAAATATATGTCATCCTTCCAGGCAGGATTACCAAATCTACAATACAGTTAAACGTACCTAGCAGGTCGGAAATTTTGATGGCCGTCGTCCAATGTCCATGGAAGACAGCCTCCTCCCCAGCTAGCGATGTTGAGGATTACCAAGCCTTCTATCTCTGGTAGCTTTACGTTCTGACCATCCAGTTCTACCTATAAAAATGGAAATTAACAATCACGGTTACCACATCCGTGTCTTCAACACGTTGTTATACCATGCCATTCTATTACCAAAATAACAGCATAATGACACGACCTCTGGTAATACTCACCGAAATCTTCTTGTTTAAGTCTTTACATTCTCGCTCCATCACATCCTTGGTGCCATAAGTAAAATAACATAACTACAACAAGACAATAATACAATGTTTAAGTCTTTACATTCTCGCTCCATCACATCCTTGGTGCCATAAGTAAAATAACATAACTACAACAAGACAATAATACAATGTTTAAGTCTTTACAATCTCGCTCCATCACATCCTTGGTGCCATAAGTAAAATAGCATAACTACAACAAGACAATAATACAATGTTTAAGTCTTTACATTCTCGCTCCATCACATCCTTGGTGCCATAAGTAAAATAGCATAACTACAACAAGACAATAATACAATGTTTAAGTCTTTACATTCTCGCTCCATCACATCCTTGGTGCCATAAGTAAAATAGCATAACTACAACAAGACAATAATACAATGTTTAAGTCTTTACATAAGTAAAATAGCATAACTACAACAAGACAATAATACAATGTTTAAGTCATCACATCCTTGGTGCCATAAGTAAAATAGCATAACTACAACAAGACAATAATACAATGTTTAAGTCTTTACATTCTCGCTCCATCACATCCTTGGTGCCATAAGTAAAATAGCATAACTACAACAAGACAATAATACAATGTTTAAGTCTTTACATTCTCGCTCCATCACATCCTTGGTGCCATAAGTAAAATAGCATAACTACAACAAGACAATAATACAATGTTAGTACTGAAAGGAAACGAACCAATCTAAAACAACAGAGTAGTATTTGGTGAGAAAATTCGGATAATATCACCATATCATATATCATATTCTGTGACAAGTACTGAATGATACCTATCTCTGAAGTACATGTACTAGATGATACATGTCTCTGAGGTAGACAACTCCAGCAATAACACCATATCATGTCTTGTGACTAAGTACTAGATGATACCTCTCTCTGATGTAGAGAACTCGGACAATAACACCATATCATGTCTTGTGACTAAGTACTAGATGATACCTCTCTCTGACGTAGAGAACTCGGACAATAACACCATATCATGTCTTATGACTAAGTACTAGATGATACCTCTCTCTGCTGTAGAGAACTCGGACAATAACACCATATCATGTCCTGTGACTAACTGTTGGATGATACCTATATACTATGTGTTGTAGAGAACTCGGACAATAACACCATATCATGTTCATTAACTAACGAGGACCTTACGACTAATACCTGTATATGTTTGGGTTCCGTTCCAGACCCCCTCGTTCACCACTTTAAATCAATGATTGTTTCATATGCCAAAATGTGGCCAGAAATCCGTCCAAGTGCACAGTTACCGGACAGACGGACGGTCTTGTTATTGATCTCGTCCGTTTAGACGGTTAACACAGAGAGAATGTACATCTGCTACAGTAGTAAAATCCGTATTAATCAACAGAACAGTTCCTAATACGTAACAAAGGTACTTTATCGGCTGAATACATTTAATAGGCGAAACTAATTAAGAAAAAAATGTGTTTTACAGGGACACTTCTGACAAACATTTATTGGAGTATCACCCGATTGTTAAAAGGACGGCAAATGTCTGTGGCAAATGACCATTTTTATGTATGTAACAAATATTTAGACCGAGGTCGCCATAATCTGCCGTTCACGTCCTCCAGTAGGGTATCAGTACAACGTGACCCCAGTGCTGTTGGAGCCTGGGACATTGCCCTAATTTCTCCATGTGTCTGTGGGAAGACGCTGAGGTAGTCGGTACCGGGTTATTCTACACGCTAATTACAGTGGTACTGTGCCTTTATCGGCGACACTAGTCTCCTGTTCACAAAATTATTCCTCTGCATGTTGTACTTAATATCTTTTCCAAACCCTCCCGCATACACCTACGTGGATTATCTAGTTGACCAATTAGCACTCAGCCCTTGATAGGGGAGATTATGGGAAATAACAAAGTGACATCAGTCTTGTGAAGTCACAAAGTCACACATGTTCATTTTAGTGAAGGTACGAATAGTTTCACAAGTGTATGTTTGAAAAATATATATAGTTGAACACGTGCACGTGAGGAAAGGTACTGAAAGTAGCACAGTCACACACATGGATGTCAGGGGAATTACGGAGAGACTCTTGAGTGTAAAAAACGCGCGAATAGTTGTATAGTCACAGACGTAATTGTCAGAAAGTCAGAAAAAGTTAGGATAATGAAATACTTGAACACTACCTACACAGGAGATATATTATCACCAGTACACACCGCCACGTGTACCCGGAACTGTTTCACTGCTTCAACCACATGTTGTTACCATCAATTTGTACATCAGTGTAACGACAACATTTTGACTCGACGGACATAAATCGATCTTGCACATAAGGATGGATACTCTAGCTTATTAATCTATGTGATAATAAAGACATCTAATGGTAATGGTGTGAACGATTGCGGCGCGATGATAGAAACCAGTCGGCGATAATTAGCACCATACGTCACACTCCGACACTGATCCACAGTGTACAGACAAGCGCGTGTAAATGTTTCTATTGCAATGCCACAGTTGCTACTGTCGTCACAATTTTTTAAAAGTAAAAGAACATATCACAACAAACACATATCTTTACATCATCAAGTTATTTGTCTATATTTCTTCATATAATCACGACAATCGTTTCCATTTTTACACAGTCAAGATACAATTTAACATTTCTCATACAACCACGACACACGTTTATATTACTTCGCGTAATGAATATACACATTTATATCTGATTTATTCTCAGAATCAGGACGCACACGTACATTTTAACAACCACGGAACACACGTGATAATTACACAGGCATACATCACTACACGTTACCAAGGTACATGCAAATAAAATCAAGACCCACATGGTTATTTCTTCAAGTGATCGAAATATACGTACAATATTACACGTGATCGAAACACACATGTACTTTACTACACATGATCGAAACACGTACCTTACTACACGTGATTGAAACACGTACCTTGCTACACGTGATCGAAACACACATACTTTACTACACATGATCGAAACACGTACCTTACTACACGTGATCGAAACACGTACTTTACTACACGTGATTGAAATACACATACTTTACTACATGTGACCAAAACACACGTACTTTACTATATGTTATCGAAACACACGCATACATAACACAACGTAATCACGCGATCCTGTTTAATCTGATCAAACAAAAGAATAAATAATGTAATCATGTACGTGTTTATAAAGTATGGACTGAGTAATCTCTTTGGCGCATCATCATAAATACCAATAAATACATATCAATATGTGTTATGTACTGAGGACAGATTGCGCCAATGAAGATGCGGAGCATTAGGTATGGAAACCCCAATAACGTAAGGCTGTGTGTTAGAAAGTAGAAGCAGACATAATACGGGGAAGGATTTTTACCAAGCATATGTTAACATTCAAAAATAAATCAAAGAAGCACCCAGCAAGCCCACTATACTCTAACAGAGATATAAGCATGACCCAGCAGCTACACTGTAGCATTCTTCACAGTTTTAAACAGCAATAGAATGCTGAACATTTTAATATACTGTGTTTTGATTTCTTCATCTGTTCTACACGAGAATTCGGTAGCATATACCGCCAACATCAAAGGCTTGCCCTATAAACATAGCAGGCTCCCCCGCTCGGCTTTGTGACGTACCAGGGCGACACTGCTGCACCCCTAGTTACTACCCATTAGAAAACGTGTTAATTTAATTATAAATAAAACATCGTGCACTTGTTCCTCGTTAACAATCGACGAAAAACTTTAGGACATTTTCATTGGTAGGTTTATGAAGGAAATTTTAGACAGTTCATTGACATAAAGACTGCGTTTTGAAAGGACTTTTGGGACGTATATGAACTACTTCGAACAAAAGGAAACAAGGCCTATTTTTACAGATTCATGCTCAGCGTATATGTCGATTATCAACAGCATGACCAGTAAATAGTTGAAAATAAATTACTGGAACAAAATTATACATACAAGGTAGATTTATTACATCACCGCCATGGATAACTTACAATTTATCACCTTTATAAAACGAACATCATTTACACTTGATGTCCAGGGTGTCCAAGGCATTCTGTCTCTGCCTGATGACGCTTGTAACATTAAACGAGAACCTTAAACACTAAAGTCTACATGTTAGGAACACAATCACTGTACCATTTCCATGATTATCTGTTACCAACTTCGGCCCGGCAACAAATCTGTGCATCAGTTCTCGGCATTGTCTCAAATGTGAACGATACTATATATATCTCCCGGAAACAAATCTGTGCATCAGTTCTCGGCATTGTCTCAAATATGAACGATACTATATATATCGCCCGGTAACAAATCTGTGCATCAGTTCTCGGCATTGTCTCAAATATGAACGATACTATATATATCTCCCGGAAACAAATCTGTGCATCAGTTCTCGGCATTGTCTCAAAGTGAACGATACAGTATATATCTCCCGGAAACAAATCTGTGCATCAGTTCTCGGCATTGTCTCAAATGTGAACGATACTATATATATATCCCGGAAACAAATCTGTGCATCAGTTCTCGGCATTGTCTCAAATATGAACGATACTATATATATCTCCCGGAAACAAATCTGTGCATCAGTTCTCGGCATTGTCTCAAATGTGAACGATACAGTATATATCTCCCGGAAACACATATGTGCATCACTTCTCGGCATTGTCTCAAATGAGGTTTGTTACAGAATGCCAGTCCTCAACTTTAATCGATTTCATATACATATTAAAGATTCTGTTTCTCGTACATTATCACGTGAAAACTGCGTTCTCTAATACCAATCGAAATTCGTGGTGAAAACTGCATCGATTCTAAGTGACGTCATTTGGCGCCAAATGTCACGTATGGGAACTAAACAACAATGCAATTATTTTCAACCTTGACCCTTGCAGCTCATCAGTTCAGAATGACATATACAGGTATAACAACAACAATACTCTCTCATCCAACACACACCATCAATATAGTGTAGAGGGAATTCAACACATTACCCATGTACAACTAA